CTGGCATCACTGCTCTGAAATAGTCCAAGAAAACGTTTTATTTGTAACGTTAATATGAGACATAACAGGAATATTTTATTAAGCAAAATGTCTGTACACATTGCATCAAAAACTTTACAAATAAAACGTTCCTCTGAAACGTTCCTGCAGGACATTTATTGTTTCCGAGATGTTATTATATCATCGCATTTTTTTGCGGGTTACGTTCAAAACATTAAATGGTCAAAAAGGTCGATTCGAATTCTTATATCCAACTAATTCAACCGGAAACTTGTTAGATCCTTTAAACCGTTCATAATGCTTTGAACTGTCGACGATTTGGACGTCACCCAGAATGGCCAAATAAGTGTTTACCGCCAGGGTGCATGTATCCCGGTGATAAGAACCTGTCCGAATTTATAATAACCTAACCAGTCTGGATTTACCTATGTACTTGCAAAATATTAATTTTTAATATGTATATACTAACCTCCAAATCCAATAATCTTGACCACGTGCATGGACCACTTGCAGTTTTTAACTCTCTTTTTCATTTTGGCGGCTGCGCCGACGATGGAGCATTCCTTTGGCCAACGTATAATTACATTTTCCGATTTTTTAATGACGTTTTGTATATTATTTTCGTCACGAATCATCAGCCAATTAAAGTATCCTACCGCCACATTTCCATTCTCGTTTGAGAATTCGACGAGGATGCACTTAGTATCATCCATAAGTAGCTGTAAATCAGTACTTGCATCCATCCAGCTATCACGATTTTCACGAAGAGATGATTGTATAAAAACAAGTTCACACACGCGGTTTGGTATTACATACGTATTTTGGTAGTACGTACGTAATATCGCACGTTTTTGCACGTGATCGATCGCAAAATGTGAAAAGATCATGGCACGACAAACGATCACAAACTGTAAACAGTGTAAACTGTTGTAACCGGGCCGCGCCGCTCGCGCCGTGCGCGTACAAGTAGCGTGAATTAAGGGGGAGGGAAGGAAGAACAAAACCAGAGTGTGTTCCGATTCGAGCTAGCTTTTGAATCTTTTGATAGCTAGACGTTGATTGGATCGCAACGTTTACGACGCTGTGATGCGACTAAGGTAGCCTAACAGATACCGCGCAGTGTGTCTTCTGAAAGAAAATAAATGCTGTACAGTGAAATAAATAATAATGAGTGGACGAAAGCGAGGACCATACAAAGAATTTTTGAAGGAGGAAGAGTCCGAAGAAATTCCTACATCGACAGCTTATTCTCGAAAAAGAAGACGTCAAGAACAGATTGCTTCCAGTAGCAGTGCTGAAAATGATGAGGTTAGTTCTACTTATACACATCACATTTCACTTTTTGATTAATAACAAAAGTATATATAATATATACGTTACACCTGGCTTTATTCTTGAAAAATTTCACATACGAAAATATGCGAAAACACTATAGTATATACATTACATATATGATTTCTCAAAATAGTATTTTCGTATATATATTCAAAATTTTTCGAGAATAAAACCCCTATATTGTTAAATATTGTTTTCAGATTCCAATTTTTATTTATTTCATGTTTTCGTATTATGTGCTTAAAATGTTTCATTTGCGTTGCAAATATATATAATATGCATATCTAATTTGGTTTTATATTTTTACAGAATCAACTAAACAACTATGATTCTAACAAAATTAATGAAAATGATCTGCATGCAGAACTCGATGTTAATATGTCGAATGCTGCTGTTATAATCCCATCAGACGTAGATGAAGACCACGACAGAATCAGTGATGATGATTCACAATGTGCAAATGAGTAGTGATAGCACAAATGATCTTAATGCAGAAATTTATCAAATGACTGATGAAGACATTGAAACAGATTATTCTGATTCATCTAATGCTCATATGCCATTTGAAAATTTAACGGTAGACGACGAAAATGACCGTCCTCAAAATGTCCCCAATTATGATGATGATCCGGCGGCAATACAGGATGATGACGAAAATAATCGTCCAAATAATGCACTGGAGCAGGTATGTTGTAAAATTATAACATCTGGTCCTATTATAATCGCTGATATTATCACGCAATTTATACCAATAAAAAAGACTATTTCTTGTTTCAAACAGCTCTCATTTTTGTGAAAGTTATTACATAGATGAATTGTAAGAAGCTTCGAAAGCTTATATATATTTTCTACTTTCATTTTTTTTATTTGTTCTATTTTTTTGCATAGTTATTTTTTTGTGAATAATACGAAAATTTATTTTGAAAATTTCCGACAATTGCTAAAACTCAATATAAAAAAAAGTTGCACGTTGTAGTTTTGTATTAGGTGTAATCTGTAAAAATTTGAGCAATTTTTTCGTACTTTTCAATTTCTTTGTGTAAATGCAGTATTTATATTTATTTTAATAAAGATGTTCATATTATGTAAAGATATGTGTTGGCGATTCTCCCGAAGGGGTATCGACAGGAGTGGAGTAAAATAAACTACGCTGAAGCTCGTTTGCAGTTTATTGTGTCGTTTTATTGCTTAAGAAGCAGAATGCTAGTGCGACTAGAAATTAGCTGTTGGTCGCGGTCCGAACGTCACGGATAACAGTTAGCAAAAAACGAATGAGCGGTTGTCTCTATGCGGACTATTGCAAAAGTGCCCTGGCGGCGCTGACGCTCCTGGTTTTAAAGCCCCCTGATCTTCCGG